TTTTATATAACAAAAAAATTTTTATGATTAGATAATAATGTAATAATATTACATGATATGTAATTATTTAAATCAATAGATTATTATTTATTTTAACCAAAACTATTAAATACGATTAATCGTAAATAATAAATCAAATTATTATTATTATTACTATGATTATTATGATTATTATGATTATGATTATTATTAAAGGTAAATATAATATCAGTAATCTAATATTAAGATATATATTTTGATATTTTAAACCAAATTAATAAAAATTGTGATTACTAAAATTCTAACAAACTTTTGTTAATATCTTCACAAACAGAATTATGCGTTTTTAAAGTCATAAAGGCAACTAGCTGTGCAATATCAATAATCTCATCAATTTTTGATTCACCATGCATGATTAATCCAGATATTAAAGTTCCAACAAAACTTTCAAAAAAATAAATAAATAAATAAATAAATAAAAGAATCATTATTAAATTTTTTTTTTTGGAAATATAACATTTTTAATTACCTATCACCAGCTCCCGTGACATTAACTATTTCACTTTTATCAAGTTTTTTGGGCCTAAAATATCTAAACCTATATATTTAAACAAATATTAATAAAGATAATTATAAATGTAACAAATTGAATTTAATCGTACCTTGATCCGCTGTTTCCGTTTTTCCATTTTATAATAATTTCATTCTTCTCGTAATTTATAATACTCTTACCAGTTTCTTTCATATTAACGTTATCGATACTTAAATCTTTTAAAAATTGTGCGTACAAAATACCATTTGCGCCTAATTTTACTATGATATTTGGTATAAAAGGTAAGAAATGTGTAACATGTATAAACAATCCATCATTTATTAACGTTCTTATTGCAGAGTTATGTTTAAAAAGGCTTTCAAAATCTAAATTATTTAAAATAAATAAATAAATGAATAAATTATAATTACATTGCCAGTAAATAAATCAAGTGGGCAAAATTAAAAATGAAAAAGAAAAGAAAAGAAAAGAAAATAACAACACCTTTTTCAAATTTTGGATCAAGACCATATTTATCAATTTCCTTAAATTCAACCCTTTCAAATAAACCTTCTTGATGTGCTTTAGCATGCATTGTTTTTAATTCAAAAAAATTTGGTGACATGTATTTTAATGATTGTGACGATAGTAATGAGATAAATTGTTCATGATCTTTAAATAACTTCAAAGATTTTGGAACTGATGTTGTTTCAAAGAATGCTTCCAAAAAGGGATTTAAAGTTAATGTATTGAAAAATGACTAAAAATTATCAATTAATAAATAACCCACTTGGTATGTTACAGGTATGGCAGGTATTTAAAATACTATAAATACAATCTACGGAAATGTTTCCATCAAAGCAAACTAACTTCGGTTGTTTCATTCTAATTGTCTGACAAACCTATAAAATATAATTAATTAAAGGAATTTGTATATATTTTAATAATTAAAGAATATTTCTATTTTTTATATCCATACCTTATCGGATGATAATTTATCAAATATTCTCATATCAGCAACAGCACAAATTAAATTCCCGTCAGGATCATGAATTGCATTATATATTGCCGTTGACTCATTTTTGATAATTTGTAATCCATCGGTTTCCATTCCAATTTGTTCAAATCTATTCTTCAACCAACTTCCATTTACATCATTTCCAATTGTTGATACAAACAATGGATTCGCTCCAAGTCTAAATGATGTTTCCGCTATGTTTCTTCCTACTCCTCCAATAGTTTGTCTTATTACACCAGGTGATGATGTTTTAAAGTATGAAGAATCGAGAGGATCCAAAGTTGATGTAAGATCAACTGCCGCTCCACCAATTATCAATAACTAAAATGCACATTAAAAAAAAAACCCAAAAAAAAAAATTGAAAAAATATTTTCATTATATAGAAAATTTGATTTTCTAAATTTGATATAAATTTGACATTTATTATTCTCAACTTCGCGATACATTATTTTTGCCTTAAGTTACCTTTTTTTTTTTTTTTTTTAATAATAATAACCATCATCCATAATCTATAAATTCACTCACTTATACTGTTCACAACAACTAACTTCGAACAATTCATATGAATAAGAATAATATAGAATCTTCATGTACTGGCAAGTCAAATAAATGTCTAAATTCCCAATTTGCTAATTGTTGAAAGTCCATCCACGAGCATGATATTCGATCACTTACAAATAAAATTTCAAATGAATGCGAATTGAAGAATCTAATTTGTCCGGTCACTTAATGGATACTTACCCTTTTATTTGAGAAAAAATCTTGATCCCTTTGAAGTTTTGAAAAAAAAGGCGCTGATACGTTTTTTTTTGATCTACTTTCCAATTTTTGTTTAGAACTAAAGCCAGCCAAACATTTAGCAATTCGACTTCCGATTTTTGCATTATGCTTAATCAATGCAACATCTATAAAAAGAACAGGATTAATAAATGATTCATATTAATCAATCTCAACTTATATTCATACTTGATTTCAAAGAGCCTCCTTGTGTAATCTCATTAACCCTCCTAAGCAAAAATGGTGTCACATCCTTCCCTCTGATGTCTCTAATAAAAAAATATATACAACAAAATATTAAAATATTATAAATATTAAATAAAAACTTTCGTGAAACAAAATAAAATACTATAAATACTTTGCTTCGATTAAAGCAATATCTATTGCTTTCTGTACTTTATCCGCATCAGCTGCTTCATTTTCAGGTATTGGAACTGCTATAAGCAACCCGCTATCTAATCCAAGTTGCGTATTTGCATCTTAAAAAGAATGAAAATAATTTATCTTTAGTCAACTAGATGGTACTTAAAAGTGTGAAAAAAAAAGATAACATACTGATCAGAGCAGCACATTCTTCAATAGTTTTTGAATTTGAAGGACTCTGGTAATAAAGCATAAGAATAAATTGCTTAATACTCAACATGAATTTATCACTTATCTCATTATAAATGATAATTACCTTAAAACCACTTTTACGCGTAAAAAAAGCTGGGAAATCTGTTGTTTCACCGAATGTTGTCACTGTGACACCTTGGGTTTCCTTACCATCCAGGAATTAAATACAAATTAGATAATTGCCTTGATATGTTTTAAAATGTCACGGAATTAAAATTTTTCTCTACCAAATATTCCAAAGTTTTCCCAATATCCAAAATTGATTTGACTCCCGCACACACAACAGCTACGGGTGATTTTCCCAACTCGACTAAGTCAGCACTTATATCCATTGCTATTTATGGAATCATTAAGCATAAGTAAAATGGAACGAAGTAAATCTACATAATGATGATATTATAGCTTACATTTTTCTGCACCGCGATGAACGCCGCCAATACCACCAGTAACAAACACTTTAATTCCTGCGTGATGAGCTATAACTATAGTTCCAGAAACCGTTGTACCTCCTGTCAATCCCTAATTTAAATAAAAAAAAGTCCATTGTCATCTAACTCATCTAACACATATATCGACAACTTTAATTTTTGATAAACATGCTAAATTTTATATCGGAGGATCAGGTATGTTTCCAGTTTTCGTAATTACAACGGACATCAGACCTTCACTAGTGAATATACCATACTAGAAAACCTCAATCAACAATTCTTACTTGTGAAACAACATATGCAAGATCTCGACGAGAACTTTTTTTTGCTTGTTGACCTATTCGCGCAAGGATCTCTAATCCACTAGATGATAAACCTAAGATAATAAAATTTTAAATTGATTATATAAATCATATATAATTCATATTATATTATATCAACTACTTACCTACATTGATTTTTCCATTTAAAATAGCTATAGTCGCAGGCGCGCTTCCATTTTCCCTAACAATGTTTTCAACCGCTATAGCCGTTTCCAAATTCTGAGGATATGGCATACCTTTGAAAATAACATAAAATATCAACTTTTTTTTTTTAAAAAAAAAAAAAAATAAAGTAATATTTTTTCCGAGTTATTTTACCGTACCATGACATATTATACTAGACTCCAAGGCCACAACTGGTCTATCTTCCTGTAAAGCTTCAGAAACTTCAAGACTATAATTCCAACCTTGATTATCTAGTAAGGTTGATTTGGGTTTTGAGAAATCATTATAATATCTTTTAAAACTTGAAGATAATTTATACGAAAACTTTGTATCAAAAAATATGATAAAAAAGTTTATTTATATAAGAAAGTTTTATTAATGTAAAAATATCAAGTTGAAAGAATTCATTAATAGTTACCAAAGGACTTATTCTATTTGTTGACTTTTTGAAAGTACAAGAAATACTTGTACGAGGGTTTATAAAAGAACGAATGTATAATGTTGCCATCTAAAAAAGAAAAATGTGTGTAAGGGTAATGAAAGATGAAAAAAGATAATTTATAACCAAAAATGGAATATGACATTGCTATAAGAAATAAAAAAAATTTATGGTCACGAGCGGAATATGAAAATCTCAGCCATCGGCTCAGCCGGCTGACGTTTACACTTTGCAGTTAAGAAATGTGCAAGTAATTTATGAAATGGTTTCACTTCTGTTAATCTAACTAAATTAGAATTTCCCGGAATGAACCAATATAAGTATGCATGTATACTTTACGTGTCAAATTGCTATTAAAATAAGTTGGCGCAGCAAGATTTAACTCGAAAGATATTTAAGGCAAGGGAATTGAATCATTCTTTTGATGTCATTAAGTTCTACCGAACCTTTCACCAGTCATAAAGAAAATTTGATACCCGAAATACCTAACTATTGTTTTGGTTAAGAATTTTGTAGGGTTCAACATGTAACACCAAATTTTTTTTCGTGACGTTGTCATACCCTAAGTAAATAATGTTAAATTAAATAATTAAAACAAATTACTAATCCATACCCAATAAGGAGGTAAAATCAAAATTTTTTTTTATCTAATCAATTCTTCATATAAAAAAGGTCTCAATTCCTCCATGTATCAAAAATTTAATAATTAAAAAAAAAAAAAAAATGTCAACTGAAACCGAAAATAACAATCAGGTTGATAGACCAATTTGGTATGAACCATTCTTGGATCGTGGTTTAGTTCCGGATTTTTTACTTCGAAGAGCAATTAGAGTCTTATTAAAGGAAAGATTAAGTTGGATTCAGTTAGGAGATGTAGCAAAGAATCATCAAAGAAAAATCGCTTACGTTAATTCATTGAAAGAAAGGCCAATTGCCGAGCATACCGAACAAGCTAACAAACAACATTATGAGGTAAGTTTCATTCCTTTGCGCACGTGATATGCGCAGTTGATTCTTAAAAAAACGATTATCCACTTTTATTTATAGGTTTCCACAGAGTTTATGAAGATTTGTTTGGGAAGAAGAATGAAATATTCTTGTTGCCTTTTTCCAAACGGTGAGTATAATTCGAACTTTGTATTCTTTGTCGAACGAATGAATTTGAACTTGAACTCTAATCATCTAGGAAATGAAAGTTTGGACGCGGCAGAAGAAGCAATGTTGGAATCATATTGCATCAAAGCTCGGTTGTCGGAAGGAATGGAAATCCTTGATTTAGGTTGTGGTTGGGGAAGTTTGTGTTTGTATTTGTGTGAGGTATGGCATGAAGTAAATTCGGTTGCTCGATGTGTGAACGAAAATTAAAAAAAAAAAATGTGGTTTTTTTTTTTAGAAATATCCAAATGCGAAAATCACAGCATTGTCCAATTCAAACACCCAAAGACAATATATCGAGTCAATCGCGCAACAGAAGGGATTTAAAAATCTAAAAGTCATCACTGCGGACATCAAAGAATTTGAATTTGAAACTTTAACTCAGTAAGCATTTTCATTCGGGATCACCCAAATGTAATATTCCCTCACCTAATTTCTTTAATTATATAGATTTGATCGTATTATGTCGATTGAAATGTTTGAACATATGAAAAATTATGAATTTTTATTTACCAAAATTTCAAAATGGATTAAATCAAAGGGATTGTTGTTTATTCACATATTTTGTCACACCGATCAACCATATGATTTTACCATTGGTGATGGTTGGATGTCAAAATATTTTTTTACGGGCGGAACAATGCCTTCCGCTGACTTGTTACTTTATTTTCAACGTCAACTACATTTAGCTGATCAATGGATTATTAATGGTAATCATTATGGTCAAACTTCCGAAGAATGGTTAAAATTAATGAATAAAAATAAAAAGGTTGCTTTGGACTATCTTGCCGAAACTTATGGTAAGTTTTATTAATGATTACTTTTTTTTTTTTTTAAAAAAAAAAATATATATATATATATTAATATTCCTTAAAAAAAAAAAAAAAAAAAAAAAAAAAAAAAAGGAAAAGAAAATGCCACTTCTTGGTATAATAGATGGAGAACATTTTATATTGCCGTTGCCGAATTATTTAAATATAATAATGGAAACACCTGGTGTGTTGTTCATTATTTATTTGAAAAAGAATGAAACTACACTTGTATTTTAGTTATAAATAAATTATAAATATTTCTCCTTTTTTTAAAAAATTTTAAATATATTTGTCTTGACAATTATGTCCTTCATTGAATTATGTGACAAGAAGCTTTTTCATTTACAACCCTCAAAATGGTAATGTCTTGTCGATGTTGATTATGAAGGAAAGATTTTCGAGTTTGGATATACTTTTTTAACCAAATTCAGATTTGATTTTTTTTTTCGTATAATATACTGTACATGGTAAATCATGAGAATCATTAAATTTTCACAATACTTTTATCAGAATTTCAACAAAGAATAATAAAAATACAATGAATTTTTTTTTTTTTTAAAAAAAAATGGTCTTACCGACAAATTGATTTTCAAATAAAATAAATTAAATTAAAAATTTGGCACGTCACCTTTTGTTATGTAAAAAAAAACATGAGAAATTTTTATTTCAACAGATGTGATAAATCAATCTGGAATGATAAGATAGATTATCAGGGTATTAGCATCTTATATTATGAACACAAAACGTTATGAAACGGATGGATGCGGATGGATCTCGTGCTCTTATTCATTCCGAACATAACGGCTGTGTCGCTATAAATTCGTTAGCCTTGTATTTAATCTTTTTTTACGTTATATATATGGAATGTGTATCACGTGATCATAGGCAATCTCAAATCCAACTTCACTCAAGTAGGTAATTACAACAATCGAATTGGACTTCTTGAATTCTACAAGTCCGATAGTCGAATAACCAGATCAATTTTCATATATTGGCGTATCTAGTGTAAAGATAAACAAAAAATGGAAGGGTGAGAAAGGTAACCACATTTGGCAATGGGATAAATTCGCAGAGTTCATTGATTGTCATGAGTACATAACGGATTTCTCCTTCAGAAACGGTGGACCTAAAATGCATTATCACACCACGCAAATTAGGAAGAGTATCATTTTCCTATTTTTTTTTTTTACATGTATATACCAGTTAAAAAAAATTTCAAGGTAAACATGAGATGTTGAATATTTATATACTTTTGACCCTATATATATATATATATTTACTTCGATTTGTTTACGTATCATGCGTTTAAAAAAAAAATCCGATGAAATTCTCTAATTGATTAATACGCGTCTCAATATGAGATCATTTTACGCGTGTCACAGATGAAATCATTTTATGAAATCATAGAACATTGATCACAGGGTGATTTACCTAAAAGAATCACGCGTACTTCTTTTCGTGTTTTTCAAAAAATTTCGCCCGAATTTCCTCAGATTATCTTAATCATCATTTCCCAAAATAGAAAATTTAAGAATAGATTAGAGTTTTTTTTTTAATTAACGTTAAGGAGATTTTGTATATCAATCGTATCAATATATAAGGTCTTTGCGCAATATATCTTTTAAAATTAATATCAAAGAACCCTTGACTTTTTATACATTATTGCATAATCTTAATAATTGAACCTAAACAAAAAAGAATGAAGCTTTTTGAAAATTGTTTGTGCGTTGCATAGTACATTACATTTTGCTTGTTTGTAATTCTATTGTCCTCCCCGCGTGTTTAAACAACAATTTACAATCCTATCTTTTCTTTTTAAAAAAATTAAAGTTTTTTTTTAAATTCAAAAGATTTTATTTATTTATTTATTTTATTTCTTTTGTTAATTCTGTGGCACATGAAAAAAAAATCGGGCCGTATAAAGAAAAAATCCCGCCATATAAGTGTCATATTCTGCATGTCGGATGCAATTCCCTGCGAATGTGACCATGAATGTAATTATATAATTGTTTTTATATATTTATCATACAAAAAGAAAAAATCTAGTAAATATATTTTATTTTATACTGTATTTAAAAGTTACACAATAGTAGTTATTTTTTTTTATTTGCATAATAGATACATTAACCAATGTTGATCGCACCCTTGTATTTCAACAATAAATAAATAGTTGTGATAAGTACTTGTTAAGTTATAAAAAGGGCAAGATATCCCCTCAATGGTCAATTAAAAAATTTTCGACTTTATAAAAAGTCACAAGTTTTAAATTTTTCTTCATTTTTTTTTTTCTTCATTGGTTTTTGTATTATTATTATAATTATTATTTTGCAATTTTTCTTTCATATGTCTACTTTTTTTTTTGCACGATCACTATTTAATCACATCAATCACCTCTTAAATAACATGACTAACAAGTTCGAATACTATGAAAATTTATCAGATGCTGATGTTATAATTCAAGCAGGAGATCATTGTAATTTCAAAACATTCTCGGCACACTCCGAGTTATTAAAAGACAAATCGCCATATTTTCGTGTTGCTTTATCATCGACGTGGGCCAAAAAAGAAGATGGAAAGATCATTTTAAAGAAACCAAATGTTTCACCAACAGTTTTTCGTATCATATTAGAGTGAGTGTCATTTTTCTAATTTATTGATGTCACTAAACCGCAAGTTTTTTTTTTGCAATCCAAATTAAAATTTTTTTTTTTCCCAAAGATATTTTTATACGGGAAATTTACCTCTGGATCAACACGATGGGTTAACGATACTTGATCTGTTGATAGCATCCGATGAACTCTTAATCGTACATGATTTACTCGGTCTCATACAAGACCATTTGATCAACGTAAAAACCGAATGGTTAAAGGTGAACTTTTCAACAGTTTTACACGTGGTGTTTGAAAGAGAAGCTTGTAAAGATTTACAAGATTATTGTATGGATAAGATTTGTTGGAATCCGAAAATAATTTTTGATGATGCACAAGTCTTAAAATTTGAGGAGTACGTTCTTGTATCATTATTAAAACATGATAATTTACAAATTGAAGAGATTGAACTATGGGATTACTTAATTAAATGGGGTATAGCTCAATTAGGAAAACAGAGAGAATATTTAGAGGAAGATGAGGATGAACCTCCTTCCCCCCCCTTAAATGATATCAACGATTTATCGAAATGGGATGAGCGAGATTTACAAGATTTAGGAGAAATATTAAAAGATTGTATACCATTAATTAGATTTTCTGAATTTTCCAGAGGGGAATTCTATGATAAAATTTGGCCTTTAAAAGATATTTTGCCTTTAGAATTAAAACAAGACATTTCGTTATTTCATAAAAATCTTGAAATTTTACCCAAATCACTTTTATCCCCAAGGAAACCCATAATCTCAATTAATTCAAATATTATTAAACCACAACAAGCTTCCAAAATCCCTGATTGGATTAATGATCAAGATCATGTACAATTAAATTCACGATTTAATACGGATAGGGTCAGATATGAATTTAAATTATTATTAAGAGGGAGTAGGGATGGGTTCACCCCGAAAATATTTCATGAAAAATGTGATCATAAAGGTCCAAACGTTGTCGTATTAAAAATTCGTGGATCGGGACAAATTATCGGTGGGTATAATCCTCTCGGTTGGAGAAGTTTAAAAACCAGACGTTGGCAGTACACAAAAGATAGTTTTCTATTTTCTTTTGGTAAACATGGAAATCCAGAAGATGCGATATTAAGTCGAATCACCCCTTCATATGAGGCCATCTACGATGATCCTTCGTTTGGTCCTTGTTTTGGTAAGACTGATTTAGATATGAGGAGACAATTTAATGAAGAAAATTGTTCTGCTAAACAACAATGTTATAAACAATCAATTGCCGATACTTCGAAATTTGCCGTGGATGATTATGAAGTATTTCAGGTTTTACGTCATACCGTAAGTATTGGTAATAAATTCCTATGGAATGAAAATGTAATGTGATATTGATAAAGACAAGGCACGTTTCTTTTTTTTTTTGTAGCCACATTTGAACAATTTCTGACCTGTTATTTAAATAGATATATATACACAAATTCATTTTATTAATTTTATTCTAATTTTTTTTTTTTTTACTTCAGTCGGGATTCCTTACAAATCCACAGAGCCAAGTTCCGCTAGCCGAACTTCCAAGTGAGACAGGATTTCCGCAAGAGTACCCATCATATGATAACGATTCTGAGTTTGATGTTTTTGATTTTTATGAATAGAAACCGAACAATTTTCATGTATTTTTTTTCAATCAATTACTATTTTTTTTATTTTATCGCTGGCGTATTATGCATTTATATAATTTTCATTAAAAAAAAAAATAAAAACAAAAAAAAAAAGATTGAGCATAGATTATATTTTCTTATCACAATTGGAGAAATTAGAATTAGACAAACATCATATTTACTTTTTAAAATAAAAAAAAAAACTTTCATTTGGAATTTTCGTAAAAAAAAAATTTTTTTTTTCTTTCGGTAAGCGCGTAGTTTCACCAGAGTCTTTTTTGTGTAAATTTATCGGGATTTTTCGTAAATTTTTATGCAAAACATTAATGTCAGGGGCTTTGCTCCAACTTTTCCCCCAAAATAACGTTTTTAAGATTAAAGTTTCACGTTAAAAACATCAATTGTTATGTTTATTTTCTTACGCCATGTTACTAATGTTTTTTTTTTGTTATTAAATTTTGATTTTTACAGGCCCAAATCTATTTTTTAGCTGATGACAAAAAAAAATAAAAAAAAAGGAAACGGTCCCCCTTTTTTATTTTATTTTATTATATTTATTTTTTTTTTTTTTGAATAACCTAGAATAATATAAAAATCGTAGTCCGTTTTATCTTCCATGAAACGTGACGTGATTAGATAATCCGGAATCATTGTTTTGAGAATAATATGTCCAACATGAAACAGGATTTCATTTTCAAAAAAAAAAAAAAAAATATGTTGGTTATTTTCTCATCATGATTTCTTCCACATACTCTAGGAAGTTTTACCACTTTTACAATAGAACAAAATTTTATTCGCTCTACTTTTAAATAATTGGATAGTACCCATGGAATTATGATAAAATCACGCGTTTCAGCTTCACATTTGATGAATGAATGCATGATCATAACCCAATTACTTGGTTTCCCTAATTAATAACTTGTCAAAATAAAAAATTGTAACCAATGAAATGAAATATATGGAATCCAATACATTATTGAAGAAAATAATATGGAATTTCGGTACAGGAGGCTAATAAAAAAAAAGAATGGATCCAATTCGCTAAGCAGGTTGAATTAATAAAAATTTCCTTTTTAACATAATACGTTTTATTGATTAAGAAACTGCGCCGCATAAAATCGGAATAGAACTGCGCCGTAACAATTTTTATAAGCTGACCATAACCGATTTAGCGTTTATGTCCGGACCATATTAAATTTCGAAAAAAAAAATTTTTCGTTATATTCGATTTTATATGTTCTCACTCAACAAGTGGGGAAAATGAAATTCCTCGTTTTGCAATATATATCGGTACCTGTAAGATTGTGCAATAAAAAATTCTAATGTTCTTGGAAAGGCTCTTTATATTAATAAAATCTAAATAAATATATTTATATTTCATTAAATTATAAAAAACCACAAAAATATCGTTGTAATCAAGGATCTTTTCACAATTCACCAAATCCGGCTAGAATAATGGACAAAAAAAAAAACCTCTTTAAACCTTAAAAAAAAAAAAATTTCTTTTTGGGACCACTTTTCTTCACAAACTAAAAAAAAATGCCCTCGAAAGCTATACACAACCCAAAAACGACAGAATATGAGTTTTTGGGACCAATTGGAGCATCCTTAATGATGACAACACTTCCGACCTTAGTATATTTATTACACCTAGGTTGTCAACCTGAAGGGTGTCCAACCGTTTCATTAATTGAACAACTTTTAAATCCACAGCAACTCGTGCAATTTTTTTCCGCAGAAAATATCGTTTCTTTATTTGATTTACAAGCTTCTATAGCTTTTTTGGGATATCTGATTTACCTTATTCTTGCGTGGTATCTCATTCCTGGAAGATGGGTTGAAGGAACTCAACTTCGAAATGGAAGAAAGTTAAAATATAAAGAAAATGGATTTCGTAGCATGTTATTAACGCTTTGTATAATTGGATGTACGATATTAATTAAAGGACATGAACCTTTATTATTTATTTTTGATCATTTTATTGGATTAATGTCATGTTCTATAATCGTTTCCTTTTTGGTCGCTATTTATGTTTACTTGATTTCCTTTCAAGAAGGAAAATTGTTAGCCCTCGGAGGGAATTCCGGAAACATAATTTATGATGTAAGATCTCATTAACATATGTCAATCCATTTAAGAGTTAAAAAAAAATTTAACTTTGTTTGTGTATGATAAAGTTTATGATAGGTAGGGAACTGAATCCCCGAATAGGGAATTTTGATATAAAATATTTTGTAGAATTAAGACCCGGGATAACCGGATGGATAATCATTAATATTGCGATGGCGGCAAAACAATATCACGAACTTGGTTATATTACCTTGGGAATGATTTTGGTAATAACCTTTCAAGGATGGTATTGCATTGACTCGGTATATAATGAAGTAAGTTCCTACCAAAAGATTTACCAAAATTTTTTTAAAAATTAAATTATCTAATATAATAATATTTTAGCCAGCAGTTTTGACCACAATGGATATAACAACGGATGGATTCGGATGGATGTTATCATTTGGCAACATTACTTGGTTAGCATTTCTTTATCCCTTGCAAGCAAGATATTTAGCTTTAAGGCCAAATCATCTTTCTTGGATGGAAATTGTCATTATTTTATCTCTTCAAGCTATCGGTTACGGTATTTTTAGAGGCGCTAATAATGAAAAGAATGCGTTTAGAAATAATGCAAATGATCCAAAACTTAAATGTTGGTATAAAGGGAATAAAGGGTTTGATTTATTTATTTTTAAATAATTTAATCATAAACTTTATTATAGATCTAAAATATATGACAACCGAATCTGGATCAAAATTAATCATTTCAAGTTGGTGGGGTAAAGCAAGGCATATTAATTATTTAGGTTTGTTCCTTTATCAAGTAAATGATAAGATCAACCATTCAAAGACATAATTATTAAATAATTCCTCTCTCTCTATAACTTAGGTGATTGGATCATGGCGTGGGCTTGGTGCTTGCCTTGTGGTAAGTTATTAATGAATCTAATTGAATCATTTCAAACTTATCTAATTAAAGCTTGTTAACCAAATTCTTGCAGGATTTGATGACATATTTCCATATTTTTATGTAATATATTTTGCGGTATTACTTGTTCACAGAGAGTTAAGAGATGAAGAAAAGTGTAAAAAGAAATATAAAAAAGATTGGGATAGATATTGCAACATTGTTAGATATAAAATTATACCTGGTAAATAATTATACTTTTTTCATATAATTTGTTTGTAAAATTACTAATATGTTATTATATATATATATAGGTATTTATTAATAATGTTATAGATCTTTTAATTTAATAAAAATTTTTTATTAACCAATAAATAAATCATAAACTTATTATTCTCGGAATGTTAAATATCATTCATGGTAAAAAATACATACGAAAAATGAATCTTATAAATTAAAAATGCTTTCACTTTTTGAAGATTTGAAATATTTCATATTCGTCAACACAAAAACCACTTTCATCATCTCTAATTTTATCCATGTAATACTGTTGAATACATGAACAATTCAAAGGTGAATTAAAATTTTTACCCATAAATAAATCCGTTTTACCAAATTGAGGACCGGTATCTTGAGAGATACAAAAAGCTTTAGAAGTATGATTCGGATCAATTCTACTCAATTTCGATTTGGATTCTAAATTTTTTAATTCCATCTTAAAATTTATTTTATTATGTTTCATCCAAGAGAGGTTATTCTTATTTGTCAAAGAAATCGATTCACGTGGGAAAGAAAATATAAAAGAAGATTGTTCATATCTCCAAAAATCACTCGAGTCCCTCCACCTATCATGTTCAAAACTCCAAGGATTATATCCACCAATCAATTCACCAGTATCTTTAACTCTCATGACGACGATGGTATTTTCTAAACGTTCGAATTTATTATGAAATATATCGGCGGTAAAACCATCTAACGTGCCTCTAATTTTTAATTCAAATCTTAAAGTTGAATAACTATAAAGTTCCGATGATTTATTAATCCAATTACAAATTAGTGAAAAATGTTTTAACTTTAATAAAGCAGAATCAAACAGTCCGGTTCTAATAGGAGCAAGTTGCTTCCGTGAAAGGGTCGGATTAATATAATACCATAACGTTTGCTCATAAATATCCTGTTGAATGAATTCTTTAAATGGTTTGACATTTTCATGAAACTCTTTATAAGTAATATGATGAAATCTAATAAAAGGTGTAAATTCTTTAAGCATTTTCGAAAAATTGGATTTGGTCTTCCTTGACCATCTATTTATGTCATCTTTATTAAATTGGGATTTTTGACCTCCATTCAGATTAGGTTGATTTATACACCATATAATTACAACCCTCCAAATATCAATTTCTTCCAGGAACAAATCATCTCGCTTAATCATGTCTTTAAGGGGATTCAATAATAATCGGGTAAAATCGGTTGATTCAAATATTGATTGAGGGTCTTTATCGATTTTCGTTAAACAGAACTCTTGAAGTTGGTTCCATAAGGTATGTTTAAATGATATATGAAGAATATGTGAAAAATTTTGTGATAAATACATTGAATGAAATTTAATTAGACCCGTTTCAATGTGGGAACATAACTCGTGAAGAATGAATTCATCCGATGCCACAAGAATTTCTATCAGAAAATCCGGTGATTTTTTATCGAATGAAAGGGTCCCGGTATAAAGATATCTAACATGGGAAATTTTTTTTTTTTTTTTTATACACGAGGGTTAGATCGTTTCGGTTAAAATATGCATGCATGCGTGTGAAGGGTTCAAGTTAAATGCTTACTTTAAGATGACCTCAAAAACCTCAGGTTTAATATTCGGTTTCTCAATAAAGAATGACCCATCATCATCTTTTTTACACCAACCTCTTTTAAAAGCGGTATGAAAATAAGGACATATGACACGTAAAATGTATAAATGCGCTTTAAACAATCTTTTATTAGGTTCTTGTCCTATAATTAATTTCACATTATAATCATCCACGTCATCATCGAGCAATTTCCCAAGTTTTTCCGAAAACTTCGTGATCAATTCAATATCGTCCATTTTCGATTTGATGATAAAAAAAAAAATCGCGGGGTTTAGCAAAGAAAATCAAATCTTTTTTACGATGGAATATTTATGAGATTTTTTTTTTTTTTTAGCCCGTTTCAAACCTATTCGGTCTTAAATAACGCTCCGGAGTTCGGATTCATTGTGTGTGGAATTTTGCCAAATTTGTTTGTGAAAGAATTTGTCGAAAAATTATCATTCCACGACAACTGCGATACCCCAAATTATTTGTTGAATTTTGATTGGTTTATTCGGAAACTCGGAATTGCGATATTCGAGTAATGAAAAAAAGGAAAAAAAAAAAAAAAAAAAAACCAATTTGAAAATGACACGCGTCTTATTACAATAACCCATATAGTCACACCCAAAATAAAAATAAAAATGATGATTATACAAAAGTTATATGATTATTGAAAGTTTGATGTAAAGCCATCTTATTCAATGAAGAAAAAAATTTTTTTTTAAAAAAAATTATCCAAAGGTACAATTTGTATTGTAATCATTATTACATTAACAATATTTGATTGTAATATGGGGTCTTTGCAATAGAAAGGGAGGAAACTCCAAAAAAATTAAAATTTTAGTTTATAAGCCAAAAATGTTCTAAATACTATAATTTGTTCAGATTTATTATTAACTCATTTTTTATTTTTTTTTGAGTTTCCTCCCTTTCTATTGCAAAGGCCTTATATAATTATAATTTTATTATTTGTTTTATTTATATGAAACATCACTTTTCTTTTCATTATTTTTTTTACTCTTTTTTTTTATCATAATACAAATTAGATTCTAATGATGATAGGGATAACTGACAAAACTAACACAATTTAGTGTGATTCAACACGTAAAAAACAATAATAAATACACCTTTTCATTACTTTGCAATAAAGTGATATGTAAGGAAGAATAAGATAGATAGCATTTACTGATAATGAATGAAGAGAATTGGTAAAATTTTAACCTAGTATAGCAATTTTGACTATCTTGTCTTAATAAGTATTCCAGAGACATATAAGATAATAGAAAATATTTTTATCCTGATAAATCCAATTACTCATATACTTCAATATATGTTAAAATTTTTACATGCTAGTTACTTGGCTTCAGAGTCAGTTTATTAAAATGATCTTAATTCTGTATATTAATTTAATCTATAATAAGAGAAAAGCATTTATGTATAACTTCATAAATAATATTCCTATTTTTAAAGAATATAAATATCTTGATAAATACATGTAAAATTATGTATCAATAAAATAGGTGAAAATTTTACAAAAAGGTATTATAAGCAACTTTTTGATTTAGAATTCAATAAGTATAAATGAGAAACTTAACTCAGCTAAATTCAAATTTTATTTCTTTATTTGTGTATTAAGTATATTATTTTAATCAGATAAATCAATAATAAAATTGTTCTAATAATTAGTAAAATTTATATTGTGCTTATTCAGAAAATGATTCATAATCTTTAAGATTTTATAATTAATAAACTTTGATATTTCATTCCCTCTGTACATTCTAATATATTTAATTTTATCTATTTCTATCTTATTTTATAATTCTCTGAATGTTTATGCAAACTAATTCTTAATATATTTAAAAGTGATAATCCTATATCTTAAGATCTTTTTTATAAAAAAGGTATTAAGTTACTTTACAACTTTATTATATTTTAAAACTTTTGTCTTCTTGTCATTATTTTATTTTTATCATATAAGGTTTTCTTCTAAAATACAAAATTTTTTATAGTAGTATTAGTAAAATATTTCTTCTTAATTTGCATATATACTTTTCAAAAAGCATTTTATTACTAAATATTAAATAATTTTATAATATTAGTAAGATAATACATTAGATTTCTAAACTACATAGTATCAAAAATTTAAGTTACATGATTTGATATTATAAATCTCTGATATCTATTCTTTAGTAAATAAAAATATTTTTTAAATCAACTTCTATTTATTTTTTCATTCATTACAAGTAATGAATATAAAATTCTAAATTAAAAGTAATTATTTTGTAAATTAATAACTTTTAATTAGTAATTTTATATATAAATTTCTTTTTCTTATACTATTATCTTATTTTATTTAACTCTTTTCTTATTTACCTTATTTAAAAAAGTATCTATCTCTTTGAACTCTAATAATTTAAAAATAATATTATTTATTTTATAATTAAGTTTATACTATTTAAACTGATTTAAAATAATATCAAATTTATTGATAAATAATATTTTAGTGTTAGTTCTTATTTGTTAAAGTAAATCTCTTTAGAAAAGTAACTATTTATTTTCTTATTTATTAATAGTTTTTTATGATATTTTGCAATCAAATTAAAGTTATATAAATTATTATTAAGAGAATTAATTACTTTAATAGTATTATCATTTTATAATTGCATATTTATTATTAAGGAACTTTATTTTAATATTACAAATCTAACTTTAAATTTTATAATATATTCTTTATTTAATTTCTCAATTATAATATTATACTTAGTATTTTTCTTAATAATTTGTTTTAATTTAGTATTTTTAACCTTAGTCTCAACTTTAGCAACTTTTTTTAATTATATAATAAAGTGAGTTATAGATATATAACTATTTTTACTAAAAAATACATACCTAATAATATCAATATCATTAATCAAAAAACTTAAAAACTAATTAGGCAAAATATTATAAAAACTTATGTAAAAAGTTTAAAATCCGAATATTTGTAACTTTAGATTAAATGTGAATTAAGAAAAAAATTTGTAAAAATATTAAAATAAAAAAATAAAAAAATAATATTTCTTCTTATACTAATAATTACTATAAATCTGAATTATTATAAATGTATTTTTTAAATTCAAATTGTGCAAATATAAAGATATTACAAACTTATTAAAAAAATACTTTTAATAGTGTTATGAAAAATAAATATCTTACTAAAAAACTCTGTAATCCTAAAATTTATTATTTTAAATGAAAGGTGATAAAGACTAAAAAATTTATAAAAAAAAAGCTATTAAAAAATAAATAGAAAGGAATTAAAATAAAGAAAAAATAGTTTTTCAATTAAAAATTGATATTAAATAATTAGAACAAATCCTTAATCAGATTCTAAAGAATAATAACTACAAAATAAAAAAACAGAATTAGCTAAACTAAAATCTCAAATAAATAATGAAAAATTTATCAATTAAATTTTATAAATAAGTTTAAAAATAGTTTAATATTTATTAAATAGTTAATTATAAAATGCCTATTACTTATTTTAGTTATTTAAAATAACTATGATTAATTAAAAGAAAAATTTATTAAAAAATTTTTATATTTAGTATAAAATTATCAATATATTTGATACTGACTTAGAATAAGTAATATCTTTAAATTTATTTTTAAAGAATAAACAAATATTTTGATAAAGATACTTTTGCCTTTTGTAATTTAAAAGAAGTAGAATTAGTACTAAAATAAAAAAAATTTAATTTTTTTGATAATTTTAAAAACAATTGGCTTTTTTTGATTTTCAATAAATTAAATTTAGCATAAGTATCATTAATAACTAGCTAAACTCTGATAATTCTAGTTAGTATTTTTGTAACTATTTAATTAAAGAAAATTCTCAACATAGAATTAAGATTTAAGTATTAAAACCTTTTTTATTATTATAATACTAAATCTTATTTATTTAATTGCACTTAATCTTTTCATAACTTTATAAAGATTTATATAATTTACAATATTTTATGATATAGTTTTTTAATTAATTCAAAACTATCATTATACTTGAATTTATATATTTAAGTATTATAAAATTAAGCTTAACACTTTTATAATAATCACAAATTACTAAATATAAATAATATTAAATAGTAGCATTATTTTTTATGTCTTTTACATTATTACAAGTAATTTTTAAATGTTTTTTTATCTTTGTTTAATCTTTTAATCTTAAGCTCTTTATGCTATTAAGATCTTTATTAATAATTTTATCTTCATTAAAAATATAATTAATTTGTTTATGTATTGTTTTATTTTAAATATTAAATAAATATATTTTACATAGATTAAGATAATAAATTTTATTTACTTATTGATCAGAATAGAATGCGTAAATATTTTGTAATAATTTTCTTCTAATTTAGCTTTAACTAGATATTCTTTGTATTTTTGAGTAAGTCTCTTACTTCTTCTTCTTTATTAATATTATACTATAAGCCATTTTAAAAATGTTAATACATATTACATAAATTTGCTTTTAAACTCATGATTTAAATATAAAGTATTAATTAGTATTATAATTTATAGAATATATCATATTTTAATAATTTTAATATACTATTATTTTTAAAACCTATAATAAAATTATAATAAACTAATTTATAACTTATTTAAACTAGTAAAAATATAAGTAATTAAATAATATAATTGATATTTCTATTAAACTTAGTAACTTATTAATTTCAGCTTAATATTTAAGAAATTTCTCATAGTTATAATATAGTTATATTAATAGTTATTTTAGTTATTATCATAAATGCATAGTATTATATTATTTATTATTAGATAATTTTTAACATTTTTTAAATAAGTATGACTATTTTTAATATATTAAAATACATTCTTTAATAAAGTGCTATATTGTAATTTCAGTAATAAAATATTTTCTTATTAGTACAGGTTTTTTTTTAAGATATCAATTAGCAATCATTTTTTTATTTTTTATTACTTTTAACTAAACCATTAAAATCTATAATATTCAAATCTAAAAAGGATTTAAAACACTTTATATAATTCAGTAAAACTTTTTTTTTAAAATCTTTTTTGAGCAACCACAATTGTAATTTAATTTTAAAAATTAATTGTTTTTTTATACTCATTTGATCTATTATTTTTTCTTATTATTTATATACATATAATTTTATATATTCTTTTTATTAATTTGCAAATTTCTTATCAAAGTTTATTTTTTTAATAAAAGTTTATAGTTTTAATACATGTT